AAATCTCCCTTGTTTAAGGTAGGAAAGCGACCAAAGGGTATTTTATTTATGTTTTCAGACCTAACATGACTAAATGGAATACACACAATGAATTTAGCTCACATAAAAACATCGTTTCAATAAGTAACAATGACAAAAAAAAACTTAATTCCCCTCTTCTTTTGTTTTGTTATTTATTTTTGTGTGTTTGATGCATATCGTTCAATTCAACGTACACCAAGGCGTCACCAGAGCGTTTCTACATGCGTTCATAAACTGCATTAGTTTTCACCATCGAGGTTGGTAGACAAGAGTCTCGAGATCATACCCGTGTGTTCACCGAACCCGCCCGATCGTTACCTAAGCGGTGGGGAGACCGAGACGTAAGCAGGCAGCCTACAATGAGTGGGCAGGCAGCTTCTCTCATGCTGTCTCTGTTTTTGTAGTACGGGGTGTGCCCCCAACAGTTTTCTTGATCACATTTCAAACTTTTTTTTTCGAATAAATAAGAAACATTTGATAGGCATCAAGTGATATACTGCGACCTATCAGATAATGAAAGCGATGATTTGATTTGCAATAATTCGCTATCTCACGACGAGTCCTACATGTAAATAGCGAACCACTCATCGAAAATCATGAAACTATATGTACATATTATATGCTTATGTTTTGTTGGCGAGGACGCTCGTTTTATTCAAATTATTTTCGATAATGTTCATCTGCTTCACTAGAAATTATTATTAGTAGTTAGTAGTAGTAGTGGTTGCAGCTTTGTTATTCAAAATGGAACACCTTATATTTTATTACATTTTTCGATTCTTCTAATTGAGCTATGATTTCGTTGATCAAGCTCAAGGTATACCACTTTGTAGAATGTGAAAAATCGAGATTTTTTTGTATCGAAACTATACAATACCTTTATTGATTTGTCAAAATGGCTTACATGTATCCCTATCCTAACATTTTATTTACTATCTACTGATGCCATTTAATTGAAACAAATACAGGGTGGATCAGATTTCAGAATTATATAAAAGAAGTATACTAGTATGCCTACTAAAAAAATATATATATTTGAAATAAACAAAACAAATATATCACATAAAAAAACACACTCTAATATTCAACATAAAATAAAATTCAACCCCACTGGATGTATTTAAAAATATAAACAGTGTGCATGTCACTTCTAATGGAATCAACCCGTATATCTAATGTAACTGTTCAATTTTCAGGAACGATAGATATATATACCAAGTTTGACCAAAGTGAGGTAATCTTAAGTGAAAAACACTGCTCTGGTCATGCAACATTTCCGGAAAATGATATTAGGAGGCAAGATAGGTTGAAAATCACTTCGGATTCGAAATCAGGACGTAACCCTGTACCACAGATTAACAAACCTTAACGAAGCAAGTTTAGGACACATGTTTATATGACTTTTATTCTCACAAGAAATCACCCCTTGAATTATTTCGGTGTTATTTATACACCCTGTATAGATCATTCTTCATCCCAATATAGTTATTCAACATTTTTCCCATAGCGAAGTTCAGCAAATACCGATGGCGAGAGCACTATGTTTATTGATTTGATGTCTACCTATAATATATGTAAAACAAGAAGGCACAACTACTAGTGTTCCGTTTCGAAGTACATTAAATTGACAAATTTGACTCCAAAATAATTCTGGCACGCGCCAATATTCATAACGTAGTTACTGCTGCCTGTTTACATCTCCCCACCGCTTAGGTAACGATCGGGCGTGTTCGGTGAACACACGGGTATGATCTCGAGACTCTAGTGTCGTTAGCGCTGCGACGTGTGGTAACACTGCGCGCTCGACGAGCTGGTCTGCCCATCTCTACTCTCCTGCGACGAGCTTCGACCTGTCTAGCTGTGTTTCTAAATGAAACCTAAACTATTGTGAATGAGTTCAGTTTGTATTGTTTTTTTGTGAACACAACGGAATTGTGATTTTGAATGGTAAGTTGTGTGAATAAACTGTTGAATGTCGCAAACCTGTAGTATGTATTTCCTGGTTGTTAATTACTCCTTCTGGAAAATCAGTTTCTTGCCGTTATTTCTATGTCTTCTTCATTCAGGATATGGGTGACGAAACAGACGAAGTTAACGTAGGGCTCTGTTTAATTTGTCAAGAGAACATTCCCAAACAAACTTTGTCAACGTTTGGAGACAGCGGAAAGGCAACGTTGCTGTCATGTGCTAAACAACGGGAAAGTGCATTTGACAGCCAATTCAGTCGAGCAATTGTGCGTATCATAAGAGTTATCAACGTTGATAAACAGTGGCAATATCATAAGAGCTGTTATGCAACCTTTACTTCTGCTGACAAAATTAAAAGACTGCAAGACAAAAATGATAAAATTAATAAACAAGAAAGCAATAATAATGAACATAGCAAATTTGTTACTCGATCTCAAACAGGAAAAACAGATTGGGAGAAATGCCTGATTTGTCAAAAGGAAAAACCAAAGGAAAAATGGAAACTGATCATGACAAAGAATATGAATGAGAAATTTTTGGAAAATTGTCAAATTTTGATTACAAGCTTCATGTACGAGTTAGTGCAGTGAATGATCTCATTGCCGCCGAAGGAAAATACCACAGTTCCTGTCTGCTTGGTCTGCAACAAACCAAAGAGAGCTGGAAGGCAACAGACGCAAACAATAAGGAAAGCCTTACTTTCATGCAAATCTGCAAAGAGCTTCGTGTTTCCGCCTCGCTCGATCAGGCAAGTATTCAAACACTATCCTATATGTATATTTTGAGTGCAAAATAAATGGTCAAAATCGATGTGATCTTTTTCGACTCGATGTCAATTTAACGTTTTTTAGTCATCCTAGACTTTGAACCTAAGCAAAATGCGTTTCTATTTACTTTTTACAGGTTTTGACATTGGATGACGTGTGGAACAGATACAAAGAGATTGGGAACAGTATAAACGTTATCGTTTCCATATCATTTGAATCTAGGCGGTCAACATTCAAAAGTAAGCTGGAAGAAAAAGTTGGGGATGTGTTTCAGTTTTTTCAGCCTCTTCACCGCGGAGTCAGTGAACGCCGGATGCTTCTGATTCCGATTGGCTGAGGTAAACGACTTGCAGCTGATGACTTTTATGATGACGATGTTAAACAAATGCCTAATTTTGAGCCGTCTGAGGACAGTGACTTCCAAACTCTCGTGCATGCTGCTTTGAAAATAAGAAGTGATTTGTTGTCCTGGCCTGATCACTCTGGTTTGGAAATTTCGAAAGAAGCCTGTATTAAAATACTGCCAGACTCATTTACACCTGTTTATAAATGTGCTGTTGAAAGGAATGGATATTTTAGACACATTTTGTAGCGGCGGAGACGATGAACTTGACAGCGATGATGACAGCGACGACGATGATGAAGAAATGCATGAGGAAAATTCGTTTGACCGGGGATGTACCTACATCTATAGCACAAGACATAGTTCACGCGGTGAGCAAAGGAAAGAAGTTGACTCCAAAACACATTGGCCTGGCTCTGACAGTTCACCAGGCAACAAGGAGCAAGAAATTGGTCAACTTATTACATGCAGCAGGTCACTGTATGACTTACAACAATGTTTTACAGGCTGATTGCAGCCTAGCGGCTCTATCATTAAGGAGTTTTGACAAAGAATCTGGTGCTATTGTCCCTCTTAACTTCAAACCTTCTTCTGAATTGGATGTTATTGATCCTATTCTTCACGTCACCGCTGACAACATTGACATTTTAACAGATACTCTTGATGGCAAGAAAACTTTCCATGCAACTCAAATGGTTGCATTAAGAGATGCAACTACCAGGTAAGCGTACCTAAAACGCAAATTGACAGAAATGAAAACGAAATGAATATAATATATATTTTTCTTTATCTCAGGTGTGTGTTTGGGAGAATGCGCATATCCCCAAACCGTCACTACCTAGGCTGCAGGACTGTGGCTGGATTGTGCAGAAAGAACAAGTTGTTCCTCGTTTAATAACACTGGATCCCATTCCTAAGACGTGCCCAGAAATAGTTGTCTGTCATTGCATAGGACATTGTAATACAAAAAATTGCAGTTGTAGAAAAGCCAATGTCTCTTGCATCAAACTGTGCACTCCCTGTAAACGTTCTTGCCTGAACTCTGGAGACACACAATGATTCCACTTCTTTCTAAAGAAATACCTTTTGTTTTAAGTGTTACATTAAATGTCTCAAATGTGCATAGAACGATATAATACATTAGTCAAAATACCTATATTGTTTGCTAAAAACCAAAAAGGACAACTTTGACCGCTTTTGTCATATTTTTTAGAAATTATATTCAACGAACGAGTTTTGTTTGTGTGTTTTTGTTTTCTTCATGTCTAAAAACATATAAAGAGACCCTTTGGTCGCGTTCCTACCTCAAACAAGGGAGATTCAGCAGCAAAATTATGTTTTGATGCCATTTCGGACGCCATCTTGAAAATCTCACTTCCGGTTGCGATTTCACTTTGGCAACCGGCATTTTCGAATTCAGCAGGGTCGAAATAGTAGAAAAACACCCTTCACCAAAAAGTAATACAAAATGCTTCTTAAAGTTCAATATCCCAAAAATTTGTCTAGTCTATTATATCGACGGTTCAAATTTCACAAACCTACTTCATACAATAACTGAGATAATCCGTAGGCAATACTTCCGTAGCCACCCGGTATATACCTTTTTAAGAATATTCTATTTCTATTTCTTCCTTTTTAACATGCATTGTCAACAATGGGAACCCTCAATCGCAGATTCGTGTTTAGGTTTTCTCAATCCAGAATTCCTTTCCACGTCCTGTATGATGAATATCAATTTATCATACATTTAAAAAAATATGAATTAGTTTCTTCCGACAATAATGCATATTTTCATTGATTGAATATGATGGATTTTTAGGACACTCGGCTACCTGGGTTGATTGCTCTATAGAATTTTCCGCATTGGGTTCAGAAATCAAACGAAGTTATTTTTGATTATGTAGAGATGTATATTTTTTGTAGTCGAGTTTTCTAGAATGGACCAGGGTGTGTTATAGCTGACAGGAGCAGAATATCTCTGATTGTCACGCGAATGTAATATCCAAATTTTCTGAATTTAATACATCGCATCCTCGATGTAATATTGATCATATGATGAAAAGCTGCAAGCGGAATAAGGTCCTATGATTTTATTGATTCAAAAGAATTTAGAATCAGGACGATGATAACAACTGATCCACTTCAAGGTTCAGCAATTCCATGGTTTTTTTCCAAATCGATTCCATCAATATGGGGTCCTTAGCAGTTTCATATGTTTCTCTCAATGCACATTCATCAAAATGACCCCCGGTGTATATTTCTAGACCCGGTTCCAGGGCAGTAAACAAAATGGTCTGAGCACCCTCTTCTGGTGTCTAAAAAATAAGGAATGTAAGTATTTCATTAGTGTTTTGGATTAGGGAGGTTATAGTTCTTCATCCTATCGAATAAGAAACATCGCGAAGGATATTTTTCACGTCATCATTTGGAGGGCTGATAGTCCAGCTCATGACTGATCAGAATAGCAGTATGACCCAAGTGGAATACCTATTGATAGTTTTGGAGATATGATATAATGAATTACGTGGAAATCGAAAGCATTGCTCATAGCAGGTGATGTGTAGAAAGTGCCAAATGAGCATTTCTTTTTCAATAATTTTCCAGGTTCGCATGTTGATTTTTTCACAGTATAAAGAGTCTAAGTACGCTAAACAAAATAAACCCGTGAATCGTGTGAACATGTATTTTTCCAACGGTATTACAACAATTTTTAGGAGAAGAGTTCGAAATTACATCTCTGAACATTACAGGATACTTTTTTGTGGGAACCAGAGCATTAAAAAAATTTCACCTTTTTGTGATTTCTTGATCTATCATAGTTATACAATGAATTCTTCGAATGCATGTGTTATGGTCCCTTCACCAAAGTTATCATTGTCCAGAAAACATTATTTGTAATTTTTCATAGTACCTAGCTTATCTCAGGTAAATAGGTCAATAATGACAAGTAAATGAGTCACTGATGACGAGTAAATGAGTCAGTAATGACATGTGATTGGGTCACTACTGATAAGTGAATAAGTCACTAATGACAAGTGAATAAGTCACTAATGATAAGTGCTCTGTTCACTGACGGTAATAAATTCAAAATTCAATATGGAACAGGTTGATCGTGGTAGATGTACATTTTCAGGAAGACGAATATTCTTGTGGCAATTAACTTGTTTCCTTGTTCCAAGTACTCTACAAGTTTTTACTTGCCACTAATAAATATTCACCTAGGGTTAGTGATTTTTTTCTCCGTGTAGCCAGCTCTCAGTCTATAACGTCATATCAAGTTATTCTGGCCAGTCATGAGTTGGACTATCAGCCCTCCAAAGGATGACGATGAGTTTCGGGACACCTGTAAATTTTATGAGATAAGTATATCTATTGAATTACTTATGATGAGTGTTCAATCAGTGTCAAATTTAGCAAAACATTTTCGATTATTGAAATAAAATCCAAAATAGACTGAATTTTTGCCAAATGGATCTGTCACTTTTTTAATGCTTATTCGATAATGAAATTTGTACCAGATCGAAGATTCATGTTTCGTGAGGTCAGCCTGTTTTTTACTACCGAAGAAAAGCTGATGGCTTGAATGGAAGTGAGTGGATACATTTAGCTTTATTAAAAAAAAATACAAAAAGCTCGAAGCCATTTTCACAAAATGTTCATAAAATGAACAACAATGCTGGATACCGGGAGAAAAACAACTACTTTCCTAGGTGATGCCACGCAGAACATTCAAATTACATCCTCCCGAAATCTATGCATCGACTCGTATGAACGAATACTGATACAAGTGATTCTTTTCCGAATGCCTATTGATATCGATTCAGTCAGGTCACGCTAGACACCTTCAGACCGGTTTCGAGCTCTTTGACCCTCATCAGTGCAGGGCGGTCTTCAGCCAGCAGTCCTAAAGACCGCCGACAAAGCGTAGCCTAGCCAAACAGAAATCAAGTCGGCATTATATCACCCCAGAGGCGTCTTCCATAGACGATATGAAAGCAACGCCATCTGAGTAGAAAGAAAGGAAAGAAACACTCCAAAAATGAAATTCCCATACGGGAGTGGCTGGTTGCTCGACTGGGGTAATTTCAACTACGAAATTTTATTAATTTTTTTTAATCAACATTTTTCATTCCACTTTGAGCATTGTGGCTATTTTGTATAGTTGTGGAACTTAGCTTTATTATGTTTTGGATGGAAGTGTTATCCCATCTGAACACTATGATTCATTTCTATTCTTTTTTAAGAGAAGATACAAGTGTTCTGAGGAGGTATGGAATTTTTTAATTTCAATGAATAATAATGTAGAATCTAGGTTGATGAACTTATCTATATTAGGAACTTGGAAGAACGTTGAAAAATAACTGTCGTTTATTGTCTATTCCCCTATCTATTTCCATCCCTGTTTTTCAGCACAACCCGTCAAAAAAAATTTAATAACAAGTATGCCCTGCTCGAGCTAAATTACATCATTCAACCGCCGTGGCATCCAGTTGTTAATTATCATGTTTCAAGCAGTCTTGTGGAATTGAATCAAATTATCTTAAATGGCGAGTCGTATGGCTCTTGACAGCCAGAAGAGGCCGAATGCGCGAGTTCATCCCAAAGAACCCATCGCATATAGATTCTGAATTCTTAATAATTGAAAAAAATCAATTCGCACCCTGAATGTAAAACCACCATATCTTGAAAAAAATGATAATAGGTTATTGACTGTTTTGGTTCCAAATGTAACTATCCTCCTCATATCCCAAAAATCACACGAAATATTCTAAATTCTATCAATACTAGTACTAACATAATAATTTTTTTTTTTATCGCTTGGAGCGCACGAAAGGGAATCCCTATAATGTTCAAAGAACATCGTGCGTTCCTAGGGAGGATAGGAGGTAGGTATTGGAATTTTTTTTGAACTTCTGTAGGTTATATGTTGTTGGGAATACTTCCTCAGGCAATGAATTCCAGAGCCTAGCCGTTCTATGGATGAAGGAGTTTTGATAAAGTGCTGTTCGACATCTTTCGAGGTTGACAACGAAAGGATGTGCTGACTGGGCTTGTCTAGTTCGTCTGACTGGTATTGCTAGTGGAGGGATGATAGCAGAGATTTCCGAAGCACATTTCCCGTGGAAGTATCGATAGAAAAGTGAAAGGTCGCCGACCTTTCTACGGTGTTCCAATGATGTCAAAGAGTGAGTGAGTGTGGCGTCACCCACCAGGCGGATGGCTCTTCTCTGTATGGAATCTAAGAGCATCAGCGTATGTTTTGGTGCTGAACCTCATATGTGAGAACAGTATTCTAGAACAGGCCGTATTTGCGCTTTGTAGATCATGAGAAGCTGTTGAGGTGTGAAGTAGCTTTTCGCACGGAACAAGAATCCGAGTTTTTGTGAAGCAGCTTTCGCGATGGATCTGACATGATTATCCCATGAAAGAGTGTTGCTGATGGAAATACCGAGCATAGATATGGTGGGCTTGGTGGAGATGGTGGTGCCAGACATTACAATGTCGGGCATACTGAGTTCCGCCTTTCTAGAGAAAATACAGGCTTGAGTTTTGGTGGCGTTGAATTCAACTAGGTTGTTGGTTCCCCAGGCTGTGATTTCAGTAAGGTCTTCATTGACAGCATTGACCTGCCTGCGCCGTGAGTTCTTAGTTTCCTGGGAAGAAATGGGAATTCTGGAAGAGAACGCAGTATGGAGGGTACTATCATCTGCAAAGCTGTGGATGGGGCAAGTTGTTACTCCCAACAGATCATTGATATGAAGAAGGAATAATGTTGGTGCCAAAATATAGTGTAATAGTATATTATTCAACGAGCGCATATTGATGGCTACTACCCACGAAGATGAAAGTTGCAGTACGAGCCGAAGGCAAGCGCTGTAATCATCTGAGTGGGTTATAGTCATTATGTGCGAGTAGAATACCATACTTCATCTACAACTATTCAAATATCAAAGCAACTATCTGAGAGTTCAGAAATATATCTTTGGAAATAATGAAGGTTATTATATTGCAAAATCACCAAATCTGATTCAAAATGCGCGTCAATTACATCGAAAACTTATTGACAGAAATTTCGAACGGCTCATAACTCATTTCAATGATTTTGATTGTGAAAATATGATGAACAATGTTGGATCTAACTTTTATTAACAGGAAAAAAAGTCGTGCAATCACATATCAGTCAACCATACCAGGTACTATATATAATATTTCACTTTTCAGTTGTAAAATGGATCATACTATTGCAGATTATTCATTAATACTTGCTTCCGCTGTAGCATTCCCCCACCGCGACGATTTATTGTAGTACCCTGTCGCTAGACGCTAGTTATCAACAATGAAGTTCCATGGTTCTGATTGGTCTGTACCATGGTATATTTCCACCATGGACTGTACAAATCTTTTCGAATAGCCCGCACATACGTGTGAGCCAATCTGCAACTGTCAAGTGGCAAGTCCTATTTTATGGTTATGGTTACTCATGATGGTAGTCACGAGAATGAAAAACAGAGTGATTTCTCATTTTTCCGTGTATTTGTAGAATTGAGTTGATTGAAACTATGAGAACCATGTAAGGTGAGTCTTTTGAATTTGCGTGTATTCCACAAGTTTGGTATGTAGTGGTGTGCTTTAGTAGAATTAGTATAAAACGAATACCTACCTAGTTGAATTTGACAAGTCGATGGGATGTCAGATTATTACCCCATCCTACTGTCATTATTACCATCACAATAATGTCTGTCATTAAATGTTGAAAATCGAGTTAGCAATGTATGAATAACTCCATAGTTGTAGATAATAGTATATTATGTAACAAGTGTTATAAACGTCCTTTTAGTAACGAGTATTTTGAGCACGAGCGGAGCAGAGCGGAGCGAGTGTTTAATAAACGAGTGTCTAGAAGAGTTTATAAACGCGTTACATACTATGCTTTTTCTACGAATTCCGAAAATGTCATTAACATACCTGCTACTCCTGCTAACCTACAAAATAATTCGAAAGGAATGGGAATTGAGAACATAATACATACAACTGCATGCAACCAGCGAGACACGAATAAGTGATATTGGTTGTAGATGTGTCCAGTACATTGCTTACTTACCTCTGTTTCACGTTGATTGTCATGCTTTGCGCAGAATGAATGAATTGTTCTCAAAGATGGATGCTTCATTTTTACACTTCTTGGAGATATGCAAGTACCAGAACATTCTCTTCGATTTCACTTTCGTCTACTTTTCGCATATATTTTGATGAAGAATTCTGATACAACCGAATATTGTTTGAATAATTCTTATACAAAATTCGAAAATAACAGTTGACAGTTAATACAATTGACAGGCCAGACATGTCTAAAATTACTGAAGCTGATGTGTTCAATGAACTGCGTTGCCATGGTAATGTATTTAAGAAATCGTGTTGCCATGGTAACGTGTTTAATATTTTGAATAAATCACAGATCGACAATCCGTGATTAATCGATTATTTAGCGTGGTACATATCCGTACGCTAAATGCCATTTTAGTTATGTGAGTAGAAAATAGTATACTATGTAACAAGTCTTATAAACGTCCTTTTAGTAACGAGTCGTAGTTTAAGCACGAGCGGAGCAGAGCGGAGCGAGTGTTTAATAAACGAGTGTCTAGAAGAGTTTATAAACGCGTTACATACTATGATTTTTCTACGAACTCCAAAAATTACATTAACATACCTGCAATTCCTGCTAACCTACAAAATAATTCGAAAGGAATGGGAATTGAGAACATAATACATGCAACTGCATGCAACCAGCGAGACACGTATAAGTGATATTGGTTGTAGATGTGTCCAGCCCATTGCTTACTAACCTATGTTTCACGTTGATTGTCATGCTTTGCGCAGAATGAATGAATTGTTCTCAAAGATGGATGCTTTATTTTTACACTCCTTGGAGATATGCAAGTACCAGAACATTCTCTTCGATTTCACTTTCGTCTACTTTTCGCATATATTTTTAATGAAGAATTCTGATACAACCGAATATTGTTTGAATAATTCTGATACAAAATTCGGAAATGACAGTTGACAGTTAATATACAATCGACAGGCCAGACATGTCTCAAATTACTGAAGCTGTGTTCAATGAACTGCGTTGCCATGGTAATGTATTTAAGAAATCGTGTTGCCATGGTAACGTGTTTAATATTTTGAATAAATCACAGATCGACAATCCGTGATTAATCGATTATTTAGCGTGGTACATATCCGTACGCTAAATGCCATTTCAGTTATGTGAGTAGAAAAAAATAATTAACGACTTTTGATAATGGAATAGTATCATATGTGAAAATACTCTTCCTGGATGTGACGGATTATGATAATGAAGTAATGTGAAATCACCACATCTCACAAGTGTTAGTATTCAGCATCTTGATAGTTTGAAGATGTTATAAATTCCTGTGCTGAAGTAAGTAATATGAAATGATGTTGTTTAACATTTTGGATCTAACACCATAGAACCCAAATATCGAATACAATCCTAACACATCTGGAGAAGTGTTGGTTTTTCATCGACACAATTAATCGTATCATAAGTTGCTATGGAAACATCCTAGTATTTCGGTATCTCTAATAATGATAGAAAATAAATAAAATTTCCAAAAAATAATTTTTCACAATATAACTGAAAAACTATAAAAATTTTTGAAAGCCGCTGGTAAAACCCTCAGATTGCGCAACTTTTTTCACATTCAACAGGAATGATATCTCCTCCTGTTTCTGAGATTCTCTAACTCATCTGTGATATACGTATACCTATATAGATTCTGAACTTTTGTGAAAAAAAATATTCCATACTTTCTTCAAAACACTTCTGAGAGAAAATTTCAGAAAACACGACAAGATTCTCATTTTGCCCACTTCTCATAGATTCCCACGATGCCAAATTCCCATTATGCCCACCTTTCTTGGATTCCTACTATGCCCACTTTTTATACATTAACACGATGCCCAATTCCTACGATGCCCAATTCACGCCATGCCCACCTTTCTTGGATTTCCACTATGCCCACTTTTCATACATCAACACCATGTCCAATTCCTACGATGCCCAATTTACGCCATGCCCACCTTTCTTGGATTCCCACTATGCCCACTTTATATACATCAACACGATGCCCAATTCCTACGATGCCCAATTCACGCCATGCCCACCTTTCTTGGATTCCCACTATGCCCACTTTATATACATCAACACGATGCCCAATTCCTACGATGCCCAATTCACGCCATGCACACCTTTCTTGGATTCCCACTATGCCCACTTTATATACATCAACACGATGCCCAATTCCTACGATGCCCAATTCACGCCATGCACACCTTTCTTGGATTCCCACTATGCCCACTTTCTATACATCAACACGATGCCCAATTCTTACGATGCCCGATTCACGCCATGCCCACCTTTCTTGGATTCCCACTATGCCCACTTTCTATACATCAACACGATGCCCAATTCTTACGATGCCCGATTCACGCCATGCCCACCTTTCTTGGATTCCCACTATGCCCACTTTCTATACATCAACACGATGCCCAATTCTTACGATGCCCGATTCACGCCATGCCCACCTTTCTTGGATTCCCACTATGCCCACTTTTCATACATTAACACGATGCCCAATTCCTACGATGTTCAATTCACGCCATGCCCACCTTCCTTGGATTCTCACCATGCCCCTCCATACCCATGGTGGGAATCTTGTGTTTTCTCTCAACCTGGCAACGTTGCGCTCTTCGGAAATCTACCTAATCGTCGGCATGAGGGTGGGCATCGTAGGAATTGGGCATCGTGGGAATTGCGAGCATAGTGGGAATTGGGCATCGCGGGATTTCCCCATGCAGTTAAATCACACACTTTCGCCACATAGCGATCAATTTTGCTAAATTCACCAATTAGAGTGCGATACACCATAAAAACTGCATTGGGAACCCACTTTCACTTTTAGAGTGAAAATCCTCCGCACCTACCTTGAAATAAACAGTTTTTACGAAATCCAGAATAATTTTCCGGAACCCTTGGATCTTCCTGAATATGTTGGTATCAATGACTCCTGGGTGAACCGAAAACAAGCTGACATCCGAGTTCTTCAACAATTCAGCTAACTTCATAGTGAACAATATGTTTCCCAATTTACTGTTGTTGTAGTTCTTTATTTTGCCTGGGTATTTGTTCAAATTTTCAACAGTCAGATTCGCCTTCTTCGCTAATAAGGAAGACACGTTGATTATTCTACTCGGGGCGGATTTCTTCAATAAATCTAAAAATTGAAATATAAATTGTTAAACCATAAAAATTCCTTTGGTGAGATATTGCGCCAAATCAACACAAAATGTCCATTGGATATTCATTTTGTGTTCATAGAACAGGGTGTCAATAATGAATAACTGCGAAAAAAATCAGGAGATGATTCCTTATCATATTTCAAGTAATTACATTCATATTAATAAGTATCCTCACCTGCTACGATTTTGAGATTCAGGTTGCTGACTAATAATAATAATATACAGGGTGGGGCATTAGTGCGTTGGAGCTCGATTATTATTGCCGCATATACAGGGCGCACCAAAAATAATCTGGAGGGTCGGACTCATTTTTTTTAATGGAATGCCTTGTATATTTGCATATTTTTCCGAGCATCCCTGTGACCTTCATCCACTCCTATGATATCGTTGACTATATCTCGTTCATATCAAAGTTATGAATTTTTTGGTCGAAATAATGTCATCTGCAGAAGCCTACCGAAAATATCACTGTTGTCACAATTATGAAATTTGAGGAAAAATAATCTCAGTATCAGTTATTGAAAAGGTGAGTGACATTTCTGAAATTGTTTCAGGCCCTCAAATGATACAGGGTGGCTGAAAATGATTTTTCATTTCGGAACTTTTCGAAGTGATTTTTCAACAGTTTTTCGAATGGAACACCCCATATATTATTTGACCATTTGATGTATAATCGAGACACTAACACATTTATCACATACACCCATATCGATATTCATAACCATTTTTTGAATTATTCATCTTTGAAAATTATAGGTTCGCGATTTTGATCGATTCAGATTCTAATCTGTCATTAAAACATCAAAAGTCCAATAATTATTAATTTAGTGAACCAATTTTTTCAAAGAAAGAATCGATACCAGAATCGAAGCAAACAAAAAAAGTTCATATGCTAGTTATTCACAAAGTAAATAGAGACAAAATTTGCATTTCTCAAGTATCCCATAAATTCATGGAACATTGAAAGCAAAACCAGAATAATTGAGAAATGAAATTTTTTTCGTCTCTACTCTGTAAATATTTAGCATAATAATTATTATGACCTACTTATGTCTGCTTTGGTTCTGACATCGATTCTTTCAATACAAAATTGGTTTACTAAATTGTTGATGGAACTTTTGATGTGATTAGAATGTGTATTGATGAAAATGGCCAACCTAAAATTTTCAAAGTTCAAAAATTCAGAGATGGTTGCAAATATCGAAATGAATGTTCGAATAAATATTTTCGTGTTTCGATTTTACATCAAATGGTCAAATAATATATCCATTCCATTCCATTTGAAAAACTCGAGAAAAATCACTTCGAAAAGTTCCGAATTGAAAAATCATTTTCAGCCACCCTGTATCATTTGAGAGCCTGAAACATTTTCAGAAATGTCACTCATCTTTTCAATGAATGATATTGTGATAATTTTTCCTAAAAGTTCATAATTGTGACAACAGTGATATTTTCGGTAGGCATCTGCAGATGACATTGTTTCGACCAAAAATTTCATAACTTTGATAAGAAAGAGATATAGTTAACGATATTATAAGAGTGGATGAAGATCACAGGAATGCTTAAGAAAATATGCAAATATACTGGGGACCGAGGCGTTACTGGTGGTCCACCCTGTATACAGTCTGTCCAAGATAAGGTTGCACAGAATGGGTATCTCGGAAACGGTAGGAGATACGGAGTTGGTTGAATAGAAAAAAAGTTGTGCATTCGGATGCTCATACCAACAGCCTTCGAAAATTTTCGAATTCGTATTTAGTTTATCAGTTATATCGAGAAAAGTTGATTTTTGGACTATCAATTTTATTTTTTTTCTCCGTTATTATTAGGAACACAGCAAAACTAGAAGTACTTTTAAACAAAGATATCCTCTTCTCACAGTTATACTATTGAATGCTCCGATGACACTGTCCCTTATTTCCTCTTCATTATCAAAGTTATTTGCGTGAACAAAATTCTCGATATATCCCCAGAGAAAACAAATCCAGCGGTGTCAAATCAGGCGACCGCGCCGGCCAATGGACTGTAGAATGAGTACCAATCCATTTTTGGAGCGTCATCTTGTTGAAACCAACAGTACTCAACTTCCGCAATCGGTAAATTATCTAGAGCTTCCTCAAGATGATTCTCAAGCGAAGAACCTCGCACCGCATTAGGGAACATTGGCTTTCGGTAAATTTACTCGAATTTGGGATATATCGTAGAACTCGCGATGCTGATCAGATGTCCTAATTATAAACGCTCTAAATTCAATAGTTTGGATTATACAGGGTGCTGAAGTTGACTTTTTTAAAATTTTGAATGGCCATTGTGAAGTTTCATTTCTGAATACCAAAACCAAATCGACTACGTCTTGTTTGTTCATGTGGCCAGTGAAAATCTACTTTAGAGTTCAATGATAACTGCAGGTACTCACCATATACAGAGTTGGTCCAAAAATAGCAATTGTTCCAATTATTTCCGAAAAAGTGAGCGGTTGAAATCAATTCATTTTTCGACATTTCGTAGTATACTAATATCAACACCGATTCATGATGATTGCATTTTTTGAATCAGACTACATATTATACACAAGACATGAAACCGCACCCGTTTTGATATTCAAATCCATCGAATGATTGGAATTCCGTAAAACTTGGTTAGGAAGTTGATAATTCGTAATGACAATATTTTATGCAAAAACCTGAATTATACAAGGTGGTTGTGAGAGTAGTAGTGGAGTTTTCTTGAAGTTGACGTACCCCAGAGCAGTTGAGAAACATGACAGAAATCCATGGCAATCAAATAGCGAGAATGAACTATTGTGGTACCAAATGACTTAGAGATTCTTCCTATTTGTGACCATTGTATTCCATTTTGAATATTCGGCTTTCTAATAGTTGAAAAACCACCATTCGTGCAACCTGACACTCCTATTTTATCAGGAATGGAAATCACTGCTATCTATCATTTCAAAATTCAAAGATCATGGAGAAAGCTATCAACATCGAGCTCATGAAATACCTGAAACATTCAGGTATTATCAACGATAGGCAATATGACTTCCGTCATCAGAGATCAACTGATGACCTGCTCGCTTACGCCTCACATAGATAGATAGATAGATAGATAGATAGATATATACTTTAATGTCCAAGAAAGAATTCTCATTGACAAAGTAATGATATTACACAACATACATAATTGATGAAATAGAATAGAATATATAGAATATATAGAATATATGGCAGCAATCTATTGAAGAATATGGTAAAACCTCAGCCAGGGCACTCGATATCTCCAAGGCATTCGATCGAGTCTGGCACCACGGACTCCTCGCCAAGCTTCCATCTAATGGCTTGCCTCCCCAGCTATGTTCTCTGCTACTGGCTACCAGCCAGGCAAATTAGGAACGAACGAGGGACTAATGTTGACAACATAAATATGGACTTGGCAAAAATTCCAGAATGGGGATCCAATAACTTGGTAGATTTCAATGCAAACAAAACACAAGCATGACTTTTCTCTAGAAAAGCCGATCTCACTGTGCCGAACATAAGCATGTCAGGAGTAACTACACCTTTGAAGACATCCATTTCGATGCTTAGTATTACTATCAGCAATAACCTTCCTTGGGAAAATCACGTAAGATCAATTGCTAAAAGTGCATCCCAAAAACTTGGTTTTCTGTTCTTGGCCAGGAACTATTATCACAGGAAATATTATACTTCCAGTCAGCTGCTTATGATCTATAAGGCACAGATCTGACCTGTCCCGAAATACTGTTCCCATATTTGGAGTGCAGCACCCAGACACTGAAACGGTTGAAACAAGGGCAATTCGTCTCGTGGGTGATGCCTCGCTCGACAAGTTGGCGATCTGGCCCTATTTTATAGATATTTCCATGGACGATGCTTTTCTGGAATATCAACAATTGTCCCTCCCTTGGCAGTCACCGCAAGATTAACTCGTCGAGTTGAGGCTTCGCAGCCTTTCGTGGTCACTTTGGAGACATGCAGAACATCTCTTTCCAAAGATGTTCATCCAACGAACAGCGAGGCTCTCTGGAACACTTCAGGAATTCAAGAAGAACAACAATTCCTACCTGATTTCCCTTGGTTCTCACAACGCCCTCTGAACATTACAGAGGATATCTCTTTTCATGGGAACAAGAACATTAAAAAAATAATTGACGGAAAGTTTCCTTCGATTTTTCTATGAGGAGGCAAAAAACGATACCAACAATAATTAACTGACAAAACACAAATCTTAGTTACCTGATATAGCAACAAATCAAGAGTAATGAAAAGGTCATAATTTAGAATGAGCAGCACTTGATTAAATATTTATTAAAACAATTGGATTTGTAATTTCTGGAAAACTGCTTCTGTTGTTGCAGGAAGTTCTTCTAGATTGTTGTGCCTCTTACTGTACTGAGACATACTGAGAAAGTATGTCAATTGTGTGTTAGGAACGAAATAACATTTTTCTACAAACGTCAAAAAATGACAAGGTTCGCGCATTGATAACAAACTGCGAAGTGACACTTTTTTTCAGTTTCCTACGTTACCATGATACCTTGCACATAACAATGCGCGAAGTAAAACAGTGCGCGAAGTACCTACTTCGCGCATTGTAATGTAAAATTAATGAGATATTTATATTTCAACTATATGGTCCCCTATCGAGCAAACATCCATGAAATCATTTATTTCTGAATGTTCAACAATAACTCTGTTTTATCTCTTGAGCGCACGAAAGGAAATTCGTATTATGTTCGTGGAACATCGTGCGTACCTAGGGAGGATAGGGGGAGGCCTTTAATGCCAGTTCAACACTATTTTTTATATCAAGCTAAGCATATTTTTACTTTAGAACTATATTTTTTGACGTTTGTAGAAAAAATGTTGTTTGCAACTCGAGCGCGAAATACTTTGGTCATCTCGACTATTTTTTTAACTCGGCTACGCCTCGTTAAAAAAATCAGATCTCGATC